TGCGTCGGTGACGGTCTTCCAAACCCCCAAAGCTAACGGCATTCGGATAAGCGGCGTGAATGGCCTCCACCACTTCCGTAATGGCTCACAACCCAATGCTTTTGCCCATCCCATAACCAGAGCAACTGTGCCAGTGTGAGTCACCGTGGGCCCACCTATGCAAAGCATATGCCAGTATCTTCGCCGGAGGCGGCAACCTGAATTTCGTGACTGTCTTCTCCAAAAAAGGACTGATCTTTCGCAGCAGTTTATCGAAGGTGGAGGGACGCATGCGCAGCAGGCCTAGGTAATGGTCGTCCTCAGCGTTGTCTCTTGGAAGCAGGTCGTTCCACAACCCTGCTGTTCGCCTCATAACCCATCCACCTAGGCGAAGCCCAAGGCAAGAGATCACAGATTTCGACAATGGTTGGCCACAACCAAAGCAAACTACGCCCTCCCCGGCCATGGTCGTCGTCGTCATCTCCGAGACCAAACAGGGTGTCATTGGACTGTTGCGCCAGGAATAGAGGCCTTGCTGTCCGGAAACCAAGGAGGTCATCGAGGGTTTGGAATGCGTCCTCGGCCATCCTACCGGCAACAGCCATGACCGCGACAGCGAGCTGTTCTCGCTGCCTCCTTCTAAGGTGCGGCATTCCTCGGCCACACGGACAACGAACAGCCCACCACCAACCCCCTCAAACCTCGTGACTCCCCCCCCCCCCCGAACCAACAAGCTTATGGGCTTGGGACTACGCCCGGCGGACGAGGGCAGACTGGAAAGACCAGCCTTCACTATGCGACAGGGCCGGAGTAAGAGAGAGGCGCAGTGTTGGGAACATACGTGAGGCGAACGAAAAGAACTACAAGGGAAGCTCATCCACAGCAAAGGCCAAGCACCAAAAGTCCAACCAGTACGTGCTACCGATGACCATGCCTCCGTTTCGGCAATGGGTGTGCCTCCCCCCTCACGCCCGTACTTTGCTACCAACAGACACCACGGGAGAGAAAGGAAGTTTGCCACAAATGGAAAGACGGCTTCATAATCCGGCTCGCTTGTTTCCACTCGGCGGGGCCTTCTGAATTTTCCTTTCCCACAACTTACGGTCACATGCGTATGGGAGAGGACAAGTTTGGGGTCGGGTGCAGCTGGCTACGTGAAGGATCTGCAAATGATGACAACCGCAAACTAAGGATTCTCGGGTTGTACGTCGTATCTTTTGTTGTCAGAGCCGTCATTTTGTTTATTGTTTTCTTCCTTGTAAAACAATGAATAAATTGAAAAGAAATCGTTTTTACACATTATTAAACACGGAAAAGGTGCCACACACAGATTTACTGGATGCTAGTGGGTCCCGGCTCCAGGGCCGTGGTCCCACTAGCCAAGGGGATAGGATAGAAATCCTGAATCTGGCTATGTTTTATGCAGAGATACAGAAAAACAGTTCTATCTCGATTTCCTGCTCCTGTCCTCATTACGTCCAGATTCAGGCATTCAATCCGATGCTCTTTGCTAGTGGGAACTTAGAGAGTGTTTTTTTTTTGACCGGTTCTCTATTTATGCGTGGTCATCCTTACTTGCGGCCCTTCTTGGTTTTATCAAATGATGAGTGGTGTCTCACATCCCTTCCGTATGTGAGAGGCGGGCCTCCCCAAGACTTGTTACGAACAGTCGGCCCCCAAAGCCTATCTGACCCTTTTTTTTTTTTTTTTTTTTTTTTTTTTTTTTTTTTTTAATAAAACTCTTTTGTTTCTCATTCTCAACTTTCCCGTCCTAGATATTAAACTGATCAGGGGCCTGGACCCGTTGGCCAAGTATTCTACCACTTCGTTCAGGATTTCGATCACGAGTGGCCTCGAGAGTGGCACAGTACGGCCGTCTATTCTGGACGGCCTGGTAGTTTCCGAACCGGACTGTAAAGATGCCCACCTCCCGTCCAATGAGATGCATCGAAAAAAAAAAACACAAAGTTGGACTAACTTGGACATGATAGCTCGTGGCTTTGCGTGGGCGGGAAGTCTGGGCCGGAAGTCTGGATTTTATGTGCTCAAGGGGGGGGGGGTGTTGATTTCCAGACTTGTTTTTTTTTTTTTTTTTGGCTCTGAGAAATAGAACTTGAAATGTGAAATTCAGATGTCGTGGTGGATCTGACAGGAACGCTTCCGCGCCTGTCGGATGGCCTGTTAGAGGCATCATGAGATACATGGGGATGAATGTATCCTTATAGCCATTACTAGTTCATCCTCGTGGCTGTGTTCGTGGACCGTACATCACTATTTCTCGATTTATGCGTGTCATCTTTGCGCAGGGGCCATGTTAATCTTCTCTGTATTGTTCCAATTTTAACGGATGTCCCGAAAGACGTACATCACTATGAAGAAGACTTACGTGAAGGAGATCATACCAACCCATGAATTCGGGTGCACAGCTGTTCTTCATAGTTTTATGTGCTATTTCAATTCATTTTAAATCAAAAAGACGATCCATTCATGCAAATAAAAAATCACTTTGTATTTTCCAAAAAAACATAAAATTGCGTCACACATAGTAGAACACTTGGCTAGTGGGTCCAGAACAGATACTACACTTGATCTTAGCCAAAAGGCCCAGAAAGGTATTTTTTTGAAACTTCCTATATGGGTGAAACGGTATTCACCAGTTCGAAGTAGCTGATGCAGATCCCAGGGCTCAATCCCTAGTTCCCCAACTTACCTGTGTACAATACTTGTGTCAACTCGAAGAATTGAACCTGCGACCTGTAGAACCGCCAGTGGTAAGTAGGTCTGTCGTAGGTCTATAGGTAGCCAGGATTCGATCTGTAGACCTGTAGATTAGAAGTCTAGCTGCAGTCCTTCTAGAAGGTTGGCAAGTGGTCAAGTGGTGCAGGCAAGTGGGCAAGTGGTGTGACTAAAGCAAGCCCATGTTGGAGACGAGGACAAGTGGCAAGGGCAAATAGTAGGACCCCAGTGCAACTGCACTGCATCGTAGGGTAGTCGCCATGCAGTCATGGGAGAGTCTAGAAAGTACCAGTCCGGTCCAGCAAGTACCACGGGGGGGACTGTGTGCACCATGGGCCAGGGATACAGGGCAGACCAACGCAGYGCAGAAGTATAAATCAAGAGGCTGCGTCCAGCCATTCATTCATTCCTGCGGATGCCATGCAGAAGCGCTGCCTTAGCAGCTTGTGCGAGGAGGTCTGCTGGAGGCCCGAAGACGAAGGGGGCAAGAGTGAAGCTCTGTAGTCATAGCGATAGGTAGTGGCAACCATAGCTGCCATAGCTCAGTGTAGAGTGCAGAGTGTGTATACTGTGTGTGTGTTGGGTATGAACACTGAGTGTGCGTGATGGACATCCAGGGTGATCCAGAGTGCGAACAGTGAGTTGTGTGGGCGCTCAGTCGCCATAGCCAGTTTGAATGAACACTGAGTGTGCGTGTGGGACATCCAGGGTGATCCAGAGTGCGAACAGTGAGTTGTGTGGGCACTCAGTCGCCATAGCCAGTTTGAAGAGAACTCTTACCTGGTTACGATATCTTTGAGTACTATGTGGGCGCATGTCGCCAGTTTGCTGTTTCGCTGTTTGCAAGCAAGACGAGTGTGAATAATCGGAGTGTGATTGCACTGGTATCAGAGCAGGTACCCGCTGTTCCATGCGCGCGATGTGTGCAGGGCCGATCGGCCATAGCTGAAGTGCCGCCGGAGGAGGTAGTCCGCCATAGCGGACCTCGAGGTGGAAGGAGAAGCCGCGCACCTGCAACAAGGAGACCACGAGAGAGTGCAACAAGGAGACCACGAGAGAGAGAGAGAGATGAGCGATCCAAGATTGGTTGTCACTTACCCGTGAGCCGAGCCGTGGAGTCCGGTGGAGGAGGAAGACGGCTATAACCGCGGAGTATTAATACAGAGTACCGGAGGAGAGAGAAAGGGAGGACAGAGAAGGAGGGACTGAGGAGAGAGAAGAAGAAGTGTGGAAGGAGGAGAACGAAGAAGAAGACAGACATAGCCGGGGGTGTGTATAAAAAAAATATATATATACAGCGAAGGAGAAGAAGAAAGAAAGTGAAGGAAGGGGAAGAAGACGGCGAGGGTGACAAAGGTGATAGTGCCGGCAGCCATAGCCGAGGTTGAGGGTTGACCGGGCATTGACCAGAGCGTTGGCCAAGGGTTGACCAGAGGGTTGACCAGGCATTGACCGAGGGTGTTGACCAAGCGTTTGACTCGGGGTTGTCCGCGTTGACTCAGCGTTGACCAAGGCGTTGACCGGAGCTGCTGACCAAGATTTTGACCAAGCTGGAGTTGGTGATATCTCGCTGAGCCCTTAGCCTATCCCCTTACCCTGTGGATGTGCACTTACCCCACGGTACTTGCTGAGTTGTTTGTCTACTCTTTCTCCATTGAGTCTCTTCTGTCTTAGGTGCTAGGACTCTGTGGATGAAGGATAGGGCCTTGCTGCCAAACCTGCACGGGCTTAGTAGGACCAAAGCTCTACTCTGGCACTTGGAGACCGAGGCATGAGCGGCGAGCGCTCGTTAAACAACTCGTCTAGCCCAATGACCGGTACTGTCCGGCAGGTCTACTGAGTTCAGTGTGGAGGGTCTGAACCCCGAGCTGTAGGCTGAAACGAAGGCCGTCTTTAAGTGTTGAGGCCTGGTTGAGCCACTCCCCTACCGGTCCCAAAAGGCTGATGATCCGTGTCTGACGACTCGACTGTCCCGAGGGATACGAACCCCTCCAAGGACCGGTACTGACCGGCGGGCTGCTCGGTGTGGCACAGGAGGCTGGACGGGCTGAGTTGTGGGCTGAAATCGCCAGAGGAACCAAGCTGATCGCGTCGTCCTGTTTGCGACGTTAAAGAATTTTTGCGAAGTTTGGGGGATCTTCTTAAATACCTCTTGATCAGCTTTTGGTTCTGTAGTGACAGCCTTAGAGTAGTCTTGGGTTAGTTGTGATCATCATTGACATGGTCTTATCATGTGGTCCTTAGGGAGTCAGTCAGTAGGTTAGAGTGTCCGGGTAGGTCTACGTGGTGAGGAGTGGGACCTTTGTCGTGCACCAACACCACGATGGATGACTATCCGATGTATGGGTTACTTGTTGGGTTCTCCCTCTGGGGGACCCTTTGGCGTCTCCTCTTTCCTCTGGGCTTTTGGCCCGCTTTCAAGTGTAGAGTAGGGCCCACTCGTGGTGGGACTTCCACCAACCCCTACACGAAGGAGGAGGAGGAGAAGATGGCCGCCATTCTGCAGGAGAAGAAGGAGAAGAAGGAGGCCAAGAAGAAGGCCTTGGAGGAGCAGGCGGCCAAACTGAAGAAGATAGAGGAAGAGGTGGTCAAAGAGAAGGAGAGGATACAGAAAGAAGAAGAAGAGAAGTTGAAAGAGGTGGAAGAGGAGGAAGAAGATGAAAYGCCATTGCAGAGGAAGAGGGTGCAGTATAGTGGTAGTAGGGATGAAGAGATGGAGAAGCGAATCTCCGAGTGGGTCGCCAACTTATCCCTGGGCGAAGAAGAAGAGGTGGCGATGTATATCTCTAAAGATGATCAGGAAGCCGCTATGAGAGCTTGGGAAGCAGAAAAGGATGTTGTGAAGCRGCAGGCATTGGAAGACGAAAAGAGGATGGAGTGGAAGTTGGCAGTGATGAGGGAGAAGAAGAGGAGAGTGGACGCGGCAGCGGAGGCGGCAGAAGAATTAGAGGAAGTAAAGAATATAGAAGAGCAACTGGCCGCCCAGACCGAACTCCCAGCGCAAATGTGAGTCATACCCCGAAACGTTGCATGCCTGACACGAATTCAGGCGGAGCAGTATGATTTTAGTAGGAGTCAACACATAGCTGTGCGTTCCATAAAGTTGGGGTCTCGGGACTTTGCGCGTGAGCTGGTAGGCGCTATAGGGACCGAGGTGGGTCACCGCCTTGACAAGACTGAGCGGTTCTGTGTCGGCGCCATTGAGGGCGTCAAAGCGGCAGCTCCCAAGCAGGAGGAGGCACGTCCTCCTCGTCGGGAACCGATCAAAGTCAAATTCCCTGATTCCTACAGTGGAAAAAGGGAAGAGAACTTCGACAATTGGGAGGCCAATGTCAAGACCTATGTGCATCTGCAACAGGTCTCCCCGGATCAGCAGGTTCTGATTGCGATTCATGCGCTCAGAGATGATGCCGCCAGCTTTGCAAGGTCCCTAGTTCGCGCTGCCAATTGCAGCGATGACCCCGTTGTGTACTCCTCATTCACTTCCCTCACTGAGTTCTTGAAGCTGTTGCGCGAGAGGTTCATCGATGTCACCCGTAGCGTTAAGGCCTCAGACAGGCTGCAGACGATCCACGCTCGTAAGTGGAAGAGCGCCAGGGCACTTAAGAGTACCATGGACGAACTGGTAGCTGTCCCTGACCACGGAGTTACAGACACCCAGTTGGTTGGCCTCTTTTATCGGGCTATACCCGAAGCCCTCTGAGGGCATTTCTTCGCAAAGAGCGAAGACCCTGCCACTACATACGATTCCCTTAGTCGCGAAGTAGTGGCTTTTGAAGCCACGTCTGCGTCTGTGTCCACTTTCTGGCACAAGGACTTGGACAAGGGTAAGCAATGGAAGGGCCGCACTATCTCAGGGCAAGTAAAGACCAAGGACAGCCTTGTCCTAACCTTAGATGGGGGTAGTGTGGATGAGATCCCCTACGACCAGATTGAGTGGGGGTTAGAGGAGGAGGACAGCGGTGTGGGCCAAGGGATATCTTACGCTGCTGTCGCGGCTGGAGGGAGTCCGCAAGGAGGAAGAGGCCAGGGCCAAGGGGGCTGGGCCTCAGGGAGTCGATTTCAGGGCGATCAGGGGGTTGGCGGHAGAGGAGGAAACCGCCAAGCGGGAGGTAGGGGTCAAAGTCCCCCGCAAAACCGTCCTTGGAATAGGGCTCCCTATAGAATAGGAGGATGGCACCCAGGGCTACCTCAGGGTAGGCCTTGGGAATCTTTGGGTCTGGACCAAGCTTTATGGCAACAACGATTGGACCGGGGCCAGTGCATTTTCTGCGGTGACCCGGTGTCAGGCGGCCACAACCAGTGGACCGCCTGAAATCAGCGGCTTTGGGACATAGACCCAAAGGCAAGACCGTGTTGTAATGGTACTCTTGTCTCACCCGACGGAAAAAATTAGGGGTACCCGGAGCTCCCCTAATATTGGGTGTGTCGACTGCTGAGAGTAGCCCTCAAATTAACAAGAGGGGCTACCGCTCCTACTTC